AAAAAAAAAAAAAAAAAAGTCACAGGCATGATTATTAAAACATGACTATTTTTAATGATAAAACAGTACTGTCTCTTTAGTTTAAGTAACATTCAAATAATTTGAGCTTAAAGACGCCTTTAAAAATTAACATTTAAAAAAATACATTAATTCGTTTTTTTTCTTGCCATCTTTTAATACCCTTGACTTCATCTCTGATAGGCTCTATGGTCATTGGTATCTCCCAGAATAAGGCATATTAGAGATCATAGGAGTCCAAGGTTATCTTTTAGTTGCCTTTGTCATGATAGTTCAACCATTTTTTTTTCTTGGCTCACTTCAACCTTCACCTCTCAGGTTCAAGCGACTCTCCAGCCTCAGCCTCCCAAGTAGCTGAGATTACAGGCATGCGCCACCACGCCGGGCTAATTTTGTATTTTTAGTAGAAACGGGCTTTCACCATGTTAGCCAGGCTGGTCTTGAACTCCTGAACTCGTGATCTGTCTACCTTGGCCTCCCAGAGTGCTGGGATTATAGGCATGAGCCACTGCACCCGGCCAGTCCAACCTTTTTTAATGAGTAGCAAGCTCATTTATGCATACCAATTTTAGGAAGCACGTGTTTTCTATTCTTTCATCATTATTTTGCCCAAATGGCTCAGATTTTCATGTAATTTAACACCAAATTAGAATAATAAAACAACTGGTAACTAAAACTAGTAATACTAAATTAAAATAAGTTATCTAGTGTTTTATTTCACTCAATACATGGGTGGCTAAGTAGTTTCCAGGGAAATTTTATCTGACGGATGGTATAACTGGCTATCTTTCTCATTGTTTCCCTTAAAAGTTCATAATTTTAGGACCACATTAAAGTTTTTTCAGCAAACAACCTTTGTTTTTTTTCTTTTTCTTTTTTTGTTTTTTTGAGATGGAATCTTGCTCTGTCACCCAGGCTGGAGTGTGCTAATGCGATCTCGGCCCACTGCAACCTTCACCTCCCAGGTTCAAGCAATTCTTTTGCCTGTGCCTCCCAAGTAGCTGGGACTACAGGCCCACGCTACCACCCCCAGCTAATTTTTGTATTTTTAGTAGAGATGAGGTTTCACCATATTGGCTAGGCTGGTCTCGAACTCCTGACCTGTGATCTGCCCGCTTCAGACTCCCAAAGGGTTAGGATTACAGGTGTGACCTGCTGCACCCAGCCAATACTAGGTTTTGATGATACTGAGATAAATAACTTATGATCATTCCAGTTACTTAATCTATAGTGAAAGAAATATACAAAAGAACAATATTTTTAATGAGATAAGTATTATGACATTAGGTTAATTAACCTGCTCAGGAAGTGCTTGGAAGGATTAACCCAAATTAAGGATGAGGAAGCCAGAAAAGGCTTCCTGAGAAAGGCTGAATCCAGAAAGAGCTGTAAATTGATGAGGTGAAAGGAGATCAAAGAGGGGGGATTACTTGAAGTCAGGAGTACGAGACCAGCCTGGCAAACATGGTGAAACCTTCTACTAAAAATACAAAAATTAGCCAGGCATGGTGGCACATGCCTATAATTCCAGCTACTTGGGAGGATGAGGCAGAAGAATTGCTTGAACCCAGGAAGAGGAGGTTGCAGTAAGCTGAGGTTGCACCATGGCACTCCATCCTGGGCGACAGGGCGAGAACCTGTCTCACAGAAAGGAAAAAAATGGCTACTTCTGCTTGCTTTTGTTTTTCATTTGCGTAGTATATCCTTTTCCATCGCTTTACTTTGAGTCTGTAGGTATCTTTTGTCATTAAGGGTGTCTCTTCTAGGCAGTAGATGGTAGTGTCTTGTTTTTTATGCAACATACCACTCATATATTTGTTTTTTAGAGATGGAGTCTTGCTCTGTCACCTAGGCTGGAGTGCAGTGGCGCAATCTCGGCTCATTGCAGTCTCCGCCTCCCAGGTTCAAGCAATTCTCCTGCCTCAGCCTCTTGAGTAGCTAAGACTACAGGTGCACACTGCCATGACTGGCTAATTTTTTGTATTTTAGTAGAGACAGGGTTTCAGCGTGTCGCCCAGTCTGGTCTCGAACTCCTGAGCTCAGTCAGACAGTTTGCCTGCCTCGGGCTCCCAAAGTGGTAGGATTACTGGCATCAGCCACCATGCCCAGCTCGTCTATATCTTTTAAGGGGAGCATTTAAGACATTTCTGTTCAAGGTTAATATTGAAATGTGAGGTTTTCTTCCTGTCATAGTGTTGTAGGTAGTTACCCTGGAGACTTAATTGTATAATTATAGGATCTGTGGGCTTTCTGCTTGCATGTGCTTTTATGCTGGTGAGTGTCATCCTTTCATTTCTGTGTTTTGAACTCCTTTGAGCCTTTATTAGAGGTCTGGTCTAGTGGCGATGGATTCCCTTTGATTTGCTTTTCAAAAATAAGGAGTTTTTCAATAGGTAGAGGAAGGAGAAAGGTGCCCTGGGAATAAGAACACAGCATTAACAAAAGTACAAGATGCATGAGAATACAGTGTGTTAAAGAAAGAGAAAAGTTACTAATGCACCTTCATGGTAAAGGGGTACAAAGCTGGAGGCAGTGGACTTGACCAAGCCAAGAGTCTGTAAATGGCCTGCTTGATGGTGTATGGGAATCCTCAGGCAGTAACAACTGAGTTGTGGCAGAACATGCAGTTGGTGGGAACCCCAGGATTGATCACGGGCCTGTCAGCGCGGGCTCTCAGAAGGGCTCCAGCTGGCAGCTGAAACAGTTGGGTGGGAGCAGGGCAGCCACGCTGCTGTTCTTTTGCTGAGGAAGGAGTTTGTCTGGGAAAGACTTTATATCATTTTTTCATCATTTATGAAGCTTAGCTTGGCAGGATATAGAATTCTTGGCTGGCGTTTTTTTTTTTTTTTTTTTTAATTTTAAAAGGCAAAAAATAGACCCCCAATCTCTTCCAGCTTGTATGGTTTCTGCTGAGAAGTCTGATGGGATTTTCTTTATAGGTGGTTTGACACTTCTCTCTAGCTGCCTTTAAGATTTGTCCTTTTTTGTTGACCTTGGGTAGTC